AAACCACAAAAAACTCACAATTAAAACCCGTGAAGCAAACGGAGTTTAGGCTAGCACCCACTAAAAAGATTCTCCTATACCAAATCCCTAACTCAAATACTATTTAAAAATAAAATGAAAGGATATTACAAATTAAAAGTTCCGACCAAAAGGCTAAAAAACAAGGAAACAACTTAAAAGAAGACACCGAAGTTTCTAAAGAAACTAGTAAGGCTATACAATGGGTCAAGCAAAACTTTTTCGAGGCCAAGGCCCCACAGTAGAGTTTCATTAAAACCTTCTATGTAAAAAAAAAAAAAAAAAAAAAAAAAAAAAAAAAAAAAAAAAAAAAAAAAAAAACACTAAGAAAGTAAAAAGAGTACTACAACTCGGTGAATTTACGAAATCTATAGTTAAAAAGACGAGTCAATGAAATAAGAAAATCTTACACAACATATATGCAAGTAAAAATTGTCTTTTTGTATATCATATATACACCTTAGTTTTAGTACTCGTACGTGTTTCCCCGTTAATAAGAACCATATTTGTTATATTTTTTGCTTGCAAGTCCTGAAAAACTATGGTCTTTTAGTGTTCTTGATTTCTTGTAACGTTTTGAAGCAGGTTTTCCTTAATTCAACAACGTAGGTTTACAGCTTCTTTGCAAGAAAACAAGGTTACTTTGCCTTCAAGTTTGACTTAATTATCATAAACATGAAATATATATATATATATATATATAAAAGAAAATATGTCTTTGCAAATAGATGGCGTGAAACCCAGTTGTGCGAATAATATTACAATATTTAACTTTTAACTATATGTGTGTGTGTGTCGTTATTAATTTTGACTAGATATATAGCTTTTACATGTATATTACCCAATCTCACTAATTTAGACGTAGGAGGATTAGGTCATGCTTAGAAAAGGGGGAGACAATGAAGTTTCGTCATTCTTTATTGAATTTGACATATTTAGACACTTTGCGAGTAAAATATAAAGAAAACCTTGGGAATTATGTATTGGCATATCTAATTGTAACTTTACGGGTGTGTCTAGCTATAAGTCGCGTATGTTGTTGTTCAACTAGGATGTTTACTTTTAGGTCTACCTACAGCTAAATGTGGTCTTATAATGGGAAATTAGTTAATGACCAATGATAGCCGGTAATAAAATTGATTTTATTATTATTCTTATATATATATATATAGAAAAGATGTAGGATATCTTCGCCATTGACCGTTATAAATCTAATACATATAAAGTTGATGTTAGAAAATCTGGATATGAAAAATATGTAATAAATATGCTATTCTTAAAGCCTATTTGCCTTCTTATATTATTTACAGGTTTTAACACTAAATCGCTTTCAGGATATAACAAGCTTTTTATGTGTTTCTGTATTAAATAAAAATGAAAAAAAAAAAAAAACAAAAACAAAAAGCGAAGAATGTATTTTTTTTAAGGAAGGAAAAAAAAAAGGAGTAATAAATCATATAAATGTTTTCTGGTTTCATTTTCCTATTTATAAATCAAAGACAACCTATAATTTTACCCTTTTAGAATAACTGCTACCCATTTAGAATGACAATTAAATTTGAATTTGCACTGTTTTTCTTTAAAAAAAAAATTAATTTAATTTAAATCCTAATTTTAAAGAATACTATTTCTTTAGTAGTATTGCATATATTCCTTGAACATTGATGTGGATTGATGTAGTTTTATTAGTAAATTGACCTAGCAGCATACGGTGCATATGACTAGGGTTTGTGTTCCTTTGTTCAAGAGAAACCTAAATTTTCTCATCTTCAAGATCGTATTGAGTGTAAGTTTTCTGATTGGTTTCTATATTAGGAATTTGGTTACTAATATGCTCTCCTTATGCGTTTAATTTGAGTATCATTAAGAGTAGTTATAAGGGTTTTAAGTACTTTCGTGAAAGATACATAGTTGCTTGGAGCATGCCTTGTCAATATAATATTTCTTCTTGAATTTAGTCAGCCACTAGAGGCATTTTTAGTTAATAATTAATTTCATAAATGCCTCTTAATTATGTATTCTAGTTCATCATGCCACTCGACTTTTGAAAATTGTTCATTTCACTCCATTAGAATGTGGTTCAAAATATTCCTTGAACTAATTTAACTTCCTTTACCCCTGAATGATTGATTTTATAATATTCACAGAAAAGTTGGTAAATAGAAACATTAGAGGATACTAATCTAGTAAGTATGTTTTAATTCTTCATTATTCTAATTTCCCTCTTACTTCATTTTTTCCTTAGAAGAATATTGCCCTCTTATAATCTAGTTAGGATTTTAGAGGGAATGCCCTCTTTTACTCCAACTTGGCTGAACACAATATGTTACGTTCCTTTAAAAAAAAAAAAAAAAAAAAAAAAAAAAAAAAAAAAAAAAAAAGAAAGAAATCTTGTATCTAAACTTAATGTTTTTCATTTTTCTTTTTCAAAATATTTTTTATATGTCTCTGCTTAAATATTTTTTTCACCCAGTCCATTTTCAAATGTGAATTTAATTAATTCTTTTTTCTTTCTAATTGTCCCAGAGAAATAGTTTTTATCAATATGTCCAAAGTTTTTTGTTTTGAAATCTTATACTTTTCTATTCAAATGTTTCTACCAAAATGAACTCATTGCTTTTCAAAATGATATTAAGCCTTGATCGATCTGCGTTGAAGAGCTCTGGGCGGATCAGAGGCAAATTGAGCAGCTCAAGCCTTCCGAAACCGCAAGACAAACAACATACCCTTTATGAAATCTTCGTCTTTGTACAATGCTATTTCATTGCAAAAATCATGCAATCAAACGTGTATAACGCATCATAGTATTGAATTTTTATGATGTTTCTTTCACAAATATAGCAAAAAATGTTTATTATATAATGTATAAATAAAATTTTTTGAAACTTTATTTAAAATATTGTCAAATAGTCAAAATAGGAGTTGTATTAGTTATTTTAAAAGCATCCTATTCCAACAGTCTAGTTCGTGATTTTTCAAGTTAAAAATTTATAGCGTGCAATACAGAATTGTTACTAATCTTAGATCATAACCGAGGCTACTAGATAATTCTTAAAAAAAGAAAAGAAAAGAAAAGAAAAGCCTCCCAAGTTAGAACTCAACGCCAAACACAGAGTGAAAAAGTAGATACCAATAAAAGATTAAACTCATAAATCAACCCAAAATGACAATTGAGTTTTATATCTAATTGCAAGGGGAAGAAAAAGATTAGTAAACTGCAGTACTCGTATAACTTACATTATATTTTTTGAAACTTTAAAAACAAAGTAAAAAAGAAACTACCAGCACCGACCTATGAACATTATATAGTTATACAGTGCACGTGTACACGTAATTATCTAATCAAGTAACTCTGAAAAAATCCCTTCAGTAAAGATACATAAATAACAAAAAAGGAATCAGCAAAGCTGAGTAAAAACAATATAAATAAACGAATTATAAGGAAATATTCAAAGAAGACGGAAGAGGCTATGAATTGGCAAACCTCACGTGCCATGAAAAGCAGAAAGGTATTACAGTAAAGAAGTAGCTCACGTGCAAGGGATCCAAGGTGAGAGTTTACTTTTCCTTTTTTTTTTTTTTTTTTTTTTTTTTTTTTCTAAAATCTGTCACTGCCAATTTGCAGGGTCCAAAAGCTAAGGTGTGGGGTTGTCTTGGGACTGACCAAATATTCCATCTTTTGTCATAAGAACTTGTTAAGGAGCTGCTTGGTCAAAGGTCAAAGATCCAGAAGTGCACAAAAGAGTGACGTGGCAGCTGGCTAGAAGAACAAACAGAGGGTTGGCCAGCGAGTGAGCCGCACGAGGGGATCCCTCTGTTCTGTCAAAAATTTTTTATTTTTTATTTTTTATTTTTTATTTTTTTTGGGTTGGGAGGAGTACTATACTTAATTCTACAAGTGGGGTTTATTGTATATAGTTTAGCTGCCGTTATTTTAAAGGGTAGACCACGTGGGGAGCCTTTTTCCCAAAAACTAGAGATTGGTGATCATCACCAAAGTTCCAATATCTCAGAAATTTTAATCACTGGGCAAGAATCTCACACCTCCAAGGTAGAGATTTATTTCAGTAAAAGTATAACGAAATACAACTTGATTAAATTTTTTTTTAAAAGAAAAACCGAATTAAGGAGATTGTGGAAACTTTTAGAAACATTTTGAACATAAATTTTATTAGTAAAAAATTTTCATTGACAAAATGATAGAAACTATAAAATAATGAGGAAATGAGACAAATTTTTTAGAATGCATGAGCCTGAATTTTTATCCGTTATTCTTAATTAATATATTTTTTAATTAAATAACTATATCAATCAAAAGAGTATTAATCAAGAGTAAAAAGTAAATCTACACCCATATACTTAAAAGAATAAAAATAATTTACAGTAGTGAATGTTTCTATTTGATCAATTTTTATTTTATGGGGTTTATCTATCATTAGATTCTAACGTGATTTTTATTCGGTTGAATGTGTAAAAATGTACCTAATTCAAGATGAGGTTTGATAATGTGGCAGCTTTTATGGTATTGGACATATGGTAGCACCTCAAGTTCGTTTGCAAAGTCCTTGTGGTTAGGGGTTGTTGGCCTATCACATTAATAAGTCTTAGCTCTTTGTTCACAATGCTAATTCAAGACACAAAATGCAAACCCCCTCCGCAAGTTACACAGCCAAGTTCAACATCATTCACCAGTTTAAAAATATAATGGTAGCGGTTGCGGACGCTAAATATACATATAGTGTTTTAAAAAGAACTTAGAGGACTTAAAGATAGGGCCGATTTAGTTCACTGATTGGTTTAACTAGAGTTAAAATGTGATTTTACTGTAATAAAAAAATTAGATGTGACTGTTTTAACTTTTTACTGTAACAAAACTCAAATTCTTAACTTGAATCGGTAAAATAAACGGGACAATAGTTGTTTATCCACTCGTAGCATCATCTCAAGACCACCACCTTTACACATGAATAAAACGAACCAACCGTAATAGTAGCTATTAAACCTGCCACTAATGCAGTTGTTCATGTGTTTAATCACAATTAGTTTTCTCACAATTCAGATAATAAAATAACATACATCTCATCAATTAATACCACTCTTTACATCTGCGGCTCTGCCCCAGGCCATAACTTTTTCAGGTTTTTGTGTTTGTTGTGCTCTTTTAGTTATTTTAAAAATGTTTTCATTGTAATGATTTTACATTATGCAACAAAATGAATTTAAGAATACGACAAAACGAGGTATGGAGAAATGATATTCAAATGGTCCGTACTTGGTCTCAGGGCTTCTGAGCAGAAAACATGATGAAAGATTGCTGAACTTTGCTTGAGTAGTTGGTAAGACCGCATGATGTGCACAAGTCCTCAATCTCTTCCTCCGTTAAATAGTTGTAGTTCTGAAGTACTCTCTGCCACAGAAATCTGTATCTTAGAATCGACCAAGTTTAAGGAATATTGGAAAGTGAATATATACCCTTTGAAGATTCTATCATTCATTGGCCGCACAAACAGTTGTAATGGGGAACCCCATTTGTTAATAAAAGCTGCCAACAACTAATGGGTGGTCATTAACCTTGATCCTAATTAGGGGCTCAATGTGAGTTTACTTTGTTCAACTTTCACAAAGGCACCAAGAACAAGAACATCTGTGGGATGTTGTTCATATGGCCATCCAGACAAATACATAGTAAGAAAACTCTCTAGTTTGATTTCGCAGTACAAATGAGGAAACTTAAAGCTTCAAATACGCGCAAACAGCCCCCACGAATAAGGTTACAATGCAGTAGATAAATAGGACCTGTTGGAAATGATGTAAACTAGAGTTAAAAGAGGGGTCAAATAAGATTCCCTAGAAAAACCACCACCAATCCTTGGTGTAAATGTTAGAATCTACATTTTACTGTTAGCCCTTGACTCCTTGAGCTTTCGAGAGAATTGATCTCAAAGAAGAAGGCCTTGAGTTCAAACCGCCTCATAATGTGTTTATTGATTTGTTTTGGGCTTATCATTAAATATGCCCGACCTGTATTGGGTCACTCCAATTACCATGTGTAGTGGGAGAATATGTTAGATACAAAAACATCCCACATGAAATGATTATAAGATGATTAGTGGGTTTATAAGATCTTGGGTCTCCTCCCCTTGCAAACTGATTTTGCGAGGGTTAGTTCTACCTTATGGGTTCTTAACAATTGATATTAGAGTCGGTCAACCACGTCATGGGTTCGAGTCGAATCGCTTGCATTATAAGGTTGGATTAAGATAAATTGGTCTGCCGAAGAGGAAAAGCTACCGTCGGGTTAGTGTCGATAATGTGGACTGGAACAATTGATATTAGAGTCGGTCAACCACGTCTTGGGTTTGAGTTGAATCGCTTGCATTATAAGGTTGGATTAAGAGAAATTGGTCTGCCGAAGAGGAAAAGCTACCGTCGGGTTAGTGTCGATAATGTGGACCGTTAATGATTTGGACCCAAACATGGTTGATCGTGACAAACCACCATGCTGAGAATGGGATTGGATGTAGTGTGGGCTACGGCTCTGTGATCGACATTCAGCACTATGGATTGACCTGGGAAAGATTGCTGCCTGATAGAAGGCAGAAAAGATTAATAGTGGGTTTATAAGCCCTTGGGTTCCCTCCCCTTCCAAGATGGTTTTTCTGGGTGAGTTCTACCTAATGGGTCCTAAAAGTATACTGTAAGTTCCACTTACAAAAAAAAAAAAAAAAAAAAAAAAAAAAAAAAAAAAAAAAAAAAAAAAAAACGTAAGCTTTTTTTAAAA